GACAAGATTGTCAAACAAGGTCTCCAAACAAAAGCTGTCCTCTTATCTCAGACTGCTGGATTCCACACGCTGAATGAAAAGTAAACTTTTACAACTCATAAGTTAAATAACCATTTATAATCATATGGTTGAATGAACCAGATGTTATATGAAATGTTTGAATAATCTGTGCCTAATTCAGTGAAGTTGAAATGAATATTGTCCATTCAATGATCCATTTATATCTTATGATCAGTAATGTTTGATTTAATCATGATCTACACTCACTCACATTGCTCATTAGATGCAAATTAAGGTTTAGGTCACCTCACATAAAGTTTAAAGACTCTTTATCCACAGAATAAGAACAGCTTGTATCTGGAAGGTGTTGGTAATGCCTACAAACATGCCAAATTCTGATTGGCAGAAATGATAACAAGTGGACATGACAGGTGCATTGATGACAGCCAGGGTTGAGATCACTGCATCCTTAGTCTCCAGAATCTGTTTGAGCTTGTAAAAGGTGGCGTTCCACAGACTAACACAGTCTTGTTTGAGCTTCAGCTCAGGCATGCCCATCTGCCGTTGAGTCGACTTGAGCGTCTCTGTGGCTGTGGTACTCCTGTGGAAGAATTGCCTTTACTTTGTCCACAGTCGGCTTCATCCCCTTCAGAGCATCTCTCACAAACAGGCTGATAGTGTGTGCAAGGCACGGGTGGTGGGTCCATTTCAGCATTTTAATTGCTTTAGTTATATTAGCTGCATTGTCACTAACACAGCAAGCCACTTTGTTTTCCACACCCCACTCTTTTGCCACTTTGAGCAGCTCCTCTGCTAAGTTCTCAGAAGTGTGTCTGGCACTGAACTCCGAACAATCCAGCAGACATGACACCATTTTGTAATTTTCAACAAAGTGACATGTGACTGACATATATGATGTAGTTGTTCGAGATGTCCAGCAGTCAGTTGTTAAACAGCTGTGGCTGTTTTTACCCTTTCTTGGTGTAAAGCATGTTCTCTATCATATAGGCCTGGGATGATTCTTTGAGAAAGTGTTTTTCTGCTTGGAGCTGAGAGCATGGGTGTAGCTTCTGAATCCTCTGTCATTCACAACTGAGAAAGGCTGAAAGTCCCGTGCAGCCATTTTTCCAAGTTCCTCATCAATTGCTTTCTGTCTGGCTGGGGTCATAGCCTTTTGCAGAAACTGGCTCATAGAGCTCTGGGTAGGTGGAGGTGGTTGTGGTGGTGTATTGCATGATGCTGTAGACACTGCAGCAGCAACAGTGACAGTAGACACACTGGCACCTTCATTTGCAGGTTGCCTTGCTGGTCTACTTTCTTCTAACTGCACTGATGGGTGAACGGTTTTCATGTGCCTGTGCAGGTTATTTGTGGAGCCTGCTCTATATGATATCTTCACCTTGAACACGTTACACTCGGCCCTTGAGCTGTTTATAATACTGAAATGGGTCCAAATTAGGCTCAGATTCCGACTGCTGTCACTCATTTTCTCACCGTCTTCGTCACACTCTCCTCTCTCGCTCGCCTTTTTCCTCCTCCTCATTCCCTCTCGTCTCCCTCCGCCCGCATGTGCTCTGCTGTGTGTCTGTCTGTTCCTCCCTCTTCCCCGCCCTTACTGCTCTGTGTGTGGACAGTCTGGACACACAGTCACACATGTTGACCAATCGCCTGTAGCTTTCACCAAAACAAGAGGGAGGGTGGTGACGGCTCCCAGTGACGAGCCGGCTCCCGTCGTTCATGTCATAGAGTCTTCATAGTGTTAGAGTTCGTTCGCGACCGACACATCACTACTGTACAGCCCTGTAGCTTCCGCTGTTGCTAATTCTTCTCCTGTGTTGTACTCTTGCTATTAATTGTTCACTTGACTCCTAGGTTTTGGTTGTGAGAGTGCTTTTTAAGCTGTCACAGAGCCAGTCACACTGGACAGACAAAGACTTGCAAATCACCATCTTCATTGTTTTTTGTCACGATTCTGTTCACTACGATTTGGCTTGGACAGCCAAAAAATGCACAAAGTGGTCTGGGCGTAATAAGAGTACGGCTGCACACGCACGCACGTACACACGCGCACACACACGCACACACACACACACACACACACTCTTTGTTGCCTCAAGCAGTCATATAGCCATTGGGCTTAAAGTAGCTTTCCGGAGTTTTCTACTTTCAGAAATCCGTAAAAGTGATTATCTCATCATGTACTCTGATATAATGTAAGCAATTAGGGCTGCACAATATATCGTAAATATATCGTTATCGCGATATCAGCATGCACAATATGCATATTGCAAAGAACAGATAAATATCAGCTCAAATGTTTGCTACACATAATGCATTCTGTCAATCAAAAGGAAGCATGATGTTTTTTCTAACAACTAAAAGGAGCTCTTCACCCATTTGGCCAACTGGGTGCAGGGTTTCCCTTACATAGGCCACGGCTGAAATCCCACCGCCACGCCTACAACATCCCAAGTTTTATTGATGGTTTTTTTTTTTTGCGCCGTTTCCCGAAGAAGCAGCGGGAACTACTGTGTTGTTGCTTGTGATCACAGCCGGCAGGTAGCAAGGAGGAGGAGGCACGGCAGGGTGGTTACAGCTATGAGCGTACGGATAAAGCATTTTTGACGAATACGAGCAAGAAACGAGTGTAAAACTCGGAAATATCTGTAATCGTGCTGAATGAAATTCTCATTGGGTAACTGACTGTCTTCAAGCTCTGTGATTGGCCAGTCAGATTGAGCGCCCGCCCCTCCCTACACACAAAACTGCAGCCGGGAGCTCTGTCAGCTCAGCCCAGGCATCAACGCACACACACAGACAGTAAGCCGGGTGTGCACTGTGTGACTTTTTCACTTTTTTGAGCCGATTTTCCACTCGTGCGAGAATCCACAAGATCGGGGCGAGTTTTGCGCTGAGCGTCGTGTAGTGTACAGGGGGGTTACGAGAGGCGATTAACACCACGTGACCAGCTACCGATCAGCAATCGTAAGCTCGCACGGACTTCTGGAGTGTTTAATATTTATCTCGTTCCTCATGAGGGTTGAAGCGGCGCTGTGAGCAGCTGCGACCCAAAAAGTATCAGAACCGCTCACGGCGCATTCGCAATCCTGCATCAACTCCGCTCACCCGCTATTTCCCCAATAACACACCTTGTTCGTTTTTATTTCTACACGTTTTTTTACTCACAATGATTGTCAAGAAAGCGTGTTTGTCGTGTTCATGTCAAATTAAACTGATTACAAAACACAGATTTACTTTCTTTATTTAGTTTTCCTCATTCAAGCCCCATAAATTCCTGTGTGTCCTCCTGCAGCACTCCCGAAGGACAACAGGCAAAACAAGACAAAAAAGTCTGACGTGTTGTGTAAAAACTGCTATTTTTAGCATATTTTAGGTCCGACGTGTTGCTACCAGACGTACAGTGAGCACATGACTCGTGAGATCTGCCCTGCGAGGAAGTCGTACAGTTTGAGCTGAAGCTGAGTGTTACGAGTGAAAAAGCCGCACAGTGTACGCCCGGCTTATTATAATGTTCACTGTAAAGCATCTTGATGTTCTTAACAAATAAATCAAATCAAAAATATTGGTCAATAATGCCAAATATGTAAATTTGTGTTTGAGTCATTTTTATACTGGCTTAAAAATACTTCATTAAGTCTACTAAGCAGGGGTGTAGAACGTGTTTAATAGGGCCAGCCCAGTAATGATCTTGGACCAAAATAAAGGGGGCAGAAAGTCAAATACAGGGGGGCAGATGGAGATGTTTTTCCAGACGCCAAGAAAAATTAAATGCCAAATCCACCCTGCAAAGTGTGTCACTGAGAGTTTAAAACAGAAATTATTATTGTGCAAATATTGGTGTATTCACCTTTAATACTAGTTATTACAATGCAGCAGTCGCTGGATTGGTGCAGTTCAAAGTGGAGTGCATCAAATAAAACAATATTAACATAAAGGTGAGACGTGTCATCCCCCCCCCCCCCCCCCCAACACCACCACCACAGCTGGAAAAATTCCTAGGGGAAACACTGGGGTGGGTTCTCATAGGTTAGATGCCCGCCCCCGAGGCGGATGGCACTTAATTTAGATGGTTAGCAAACACCTGAGTTAGCTTTGTTCTGCTCTTTCTGCTGATTCTGCTTTTCCCGGGATCCACTGATCGCCTTTTCTTGTTCATTTTCTTTTTCCCTTTCCTCACATCTTTTGCTTTTCTCATTTTTATGATTTTTTATTTCTTTGTTTTGATTATTTTTGTTCCTGAGTTATGTTTTTATTTATCGCAAGTAATATCGTCATCGCAATATTAATCACTGTAATCAAAAATCGCAGGTTTTCCTAATATCGTGCAGCCCTATAAGCAATACGTCTTTTTTAGGTTTTTTGCCAAGCACGCCCCCTGCCCCGCAGAGCTCCATGCAATAGGAAACTGAGCGCTGACCAGAACTAACCAATAGCGTTAGACTATTACTTAGATGCTTCAAATTCAAAGAATACCTCGGCTGATGCAGAGTTGATGAACTTTTCATGGACAAGAAAGTCTTTAAAATAAAAACACAGCATGACATGAGAACAATACTTGTAAAACAACATGGCCACCCCTAGAAAATATCTTCCGGGACCCCTTAAAAATGTAGTTTATGTTACATTTTGTCTGCATTTAACCAGTTTCCTTTCTGGTGTTAGACCTGCTGAACATCTTTACTCTGTGGTTAAAGTCTGGTCTCATGGAGATGTGCAGCAGGGATCTCTGGGAAGTTCCAATAGCTATGTCTGCACCATGTCTTACTGCATGAAACATTTTCTGTGCTGGAATTACAAAGTTCTTGAATCATGGAGCCGTTTAGATGTGTTCTCTGTAGGCATAACCTATATTTTGCCATTAGAAATCCAGCTTTTGATTTTGCAAATGTCTTTCAAAGAGTGCTACTTTTAGTATTGAGACCGTTTTTAATAGTAAAAGCTAACCCATGTGCTTTATTTTCTTTGTCCTTTCTCTGTAGTAAGCATGTTTCTCAACACCCTCACACCCAAGTTCTATGTGGCTCTCACAGGCACTTCGTCCCTCATATCAGGACTCATATTGGTAAGATGTGCTTGTTTTCATCCTTTATAGCTCTATCAATAGCCTGATATTGGTTAATAAATATTGATTGTAATTGAAAAATGTATAGCAGGGGTGTTCCATTCCTGACCTGGAGGGCTGGTGTCCAGCACGTTGTAGGATGAACTCTGTTTCAACACACTTGATTTCAATCAGTAGGTAATTAACAGGCTCCTGCAGGGCCTGATGAGATGCTGCACATGTGATTCAACCACTGGAGGAGAGAAGCCACTAAAACGTGCTGGATATTGGCGCACCAGGCCTAGAATTGAATACCACTGTTGTGCACCAAAAAGCTTTGGTCTTGGTCCTGCTTTCCTATGCTATAATGACCATGGAGAACATTCTGAGCAAGATGCACCACCTTACATTTTCATGCCCCAAAGCCAATCGGGTCATTTATTATTCATGTTCTTGCTGATGGGGTCAGGGATAACCAGTTTCTCTTTTTAAGAGCTTCATGGCGGTGTCATGGTGGCCCCTGGGCCATTTTGAGTCCCAACTAGGTTTCATATACTTTTTAAAGGCTCAACAAGCCTCCCTTTGAGGAAACCTTTGAAGGATGTTTGATAGTCTGTCACTGCAGGCAAATCCACTGACTATTCTTGTGTTTCCAACACCTGAGGTCGTTTCAGGTGTTTTGAGCAAACTGCGGATCTAGGCTGAGTCAAGCCATTCTATGCTCTTTGTTGCATGCTAGTGGCACCTAGTATTTGTTCTGTTCCAGGTTCTTCTCAGAGGCAGCGAACAGTGCAGCAGAGTTTAGTTTAAAATAGCCCATCTCTTAATTAACTCTCTCTCCCTTCCCTGCAGGCTGCTATCCAATTTGCGTAGGCTGTTTGGAAATGTGTTGAGCTCTGCACATGCTCTGTGAAATGAAGTGATGTGGGAAGCCAACTGGTTTATACATTTCTTCATACAGCCATTGGGCAGTTTTTCACTTTAAGGGTTCTAGATGTCACTATTATAGTCTAGGCTGCGCAGTGGTGAGAGCTGTTGCCTTGCAGCAAGAAGGTCCTGGGTTCGCTTCCCGGCCTGGGATCTTTCTGCATGGAGTCTGCATGTTCTCCCTGTGCATGCGTGGGTTCTCTCCGGGTACTCCGGCTTCCTCCCACAGTCCAAAAACATGACTGTTAGGTTGACTAGTCTGTCTAAATTGTCCTTAGATGTGTGTGTGTGTGTGTGTGTGTGTGTGTGTGTGTGTGTGCATGATTGTTTGTCCTGTGTGTCTCTGTGTTGCCCTGCGATGGACTGGCTCTCTGTCCAGGGTGTACCCCGCCTGATTGCCCGTTGACAGCTGGAGATAGGCACCAGCCACCCCCACGACCCTGCGTGGATAAAGCGGGTTCAGACAATGGATGGATGGATGGATTATTATAGTCTCTGGCCCTTCCAGCTGATGGTGTACAACCTTCAACAAGTACAAGTCTGTATATGTATTGTGTCATTAGCTGACCGTGACCTGTACATATTAGCATCGGTCAAAAACAAACCTTATCGGTTGATCCCTATAGAGCAGTGTTCTCCAACCCTGGTCCTCAGGGCCCACTGGCCTGCATGTTTTCCATGTCTCTGCATCAACACACTTGATTTATATTGCCTCCTCAGGAGGACATCAAGTCCTGCAGATGCCTGTTAATAGCTCATTCATTTCAAGTCACGTGAGTGGCAGCAGGGAAACACTGGTGTTTGAAAGGGCAAATTGGAAAACATGCAGGACGGCGTGCCCTGAGGACCAGGGTCAGGAAACACTGCTGTAGAGGGCCCCAGCAGGGAGAGGCCCAAACCGTCATCACCCAGCAGGCTCCACCAGTGAGACCTGTCTGGCCAGCATGGACACACATTCCTGACAGCGTGTCCTGGGTTCTGCTGAGTGTTCTGTCACCCTAGAAGCCTCCTGCCAGCAGGACGAGGCACTGGCCAAGATGTGCTTGGATGTAAACATCTGGCTAGGCTTGCCTCTGATTGGTTTAACACAGCATTATTCTTAGCCAATCAGCAGCACCCATGTGATTGTTTTATCCCCTTTAGCTGCTGCTGAATTATAGTAACGTTTCTTCAATAATGGATTGATTACATGTTACAGAGAAAACTAACTCTGTAACACATTCATTTTAACGCTGTTTTTCCATCACTGGTGAGGATTGGAATGCAGAATAACCAGTAAATAGAGACCTTTGGTTTTTTGCTTAGCTTCTTCTTCACCATAATAGACCACTTCATCACTGCAGATGCTGCCCCAGCAAGTCTTGGAGTTTGATGCTTTTATCCCAAAAAATTGTCATATCAAGCTTCAGTACAATATCCACAATGCACAACAGCATTTGTAAACATAACAGGAAATGACATCAAACCATCAAAACATTAAAAGCTTTTACACTAATGCAAAGATCAAAACTTACATTTTCAAATTATTTTTATATATATATAAAAGAAAACAAAAAGAAACATGCATGCAGAGTTTCAACAGGCGGGCCGCCTAGACGTATTTCTCAGATACCACTCCACCACTGAACCATGATGCATTTTAAATGTGTTCCTTGCAAAGGTTTGTGCCATTAGAGAAAAATTTGTCTTCGTCTTCGTCTTCCTCCGCTTATCCGGGTCCGGGTCGCGGGGGCATCATCCCAATTAGGGAGCTCCAGGCCGTCCTCTCCCCGGCCTTGTCCACCAGCTCCTCCGGCAGGACCCCAAGGCGTTCCCGGACCAGATTGGAGATGTAACCTCTCCAACGTGTCCTGGGTCGACCCGGGGGCCTTCTGCCGGCAGGACATGCCCGAAACACCTCCCCGGGGAGGCGTCCAGGAGGCATCCTGACCAGATGCCCAAACCACCTCAACTGGCTCCTTTCGATCCAGAGGAGCAGCGGTTCTACTCCGAGTCCCTCCCGAATGTCTGAGCTCCTCACCCTATCTCTAAGGCTGAGCCCGGCCACCCTACGGAGGAAACTCATTTCGGCCGCTTGTATCCGCGATCTCGTTCTTTCGGTCATTACCCAAAGCTCATGACCATAGGTGAGGATTGGGACGTAGATCGACCGGTAAATCGAGAGCCTGGCTTTCTGGCTCAGCTCCCTCTTCCCCACGACAGATCGGCTCAGCGTCCGCATCACTGCAGACGCCGAACCAATCCGCCTGTCGATCTCCCGATCCCTCCTACCCTCACTCGTGAACAAGACCCCGAGATACTTAAACTCCTCCACTTGAGGTAGGACCTCTCCCCCGACCCGGAGGTGGCAAGCCACCCTTTTCCGGTCGAGAACCATGGTCTCAGATTTGGAGGTGCTGATCCAACCGTAAATTTTTATATATATATATATATATATATATATATATATATATATATATATACACACACACACATATATATATATATATATATGTATATATATATATATGTATATATATACATATATATATATATATATATATATATATGTATATATATATATGTATATACATATATATATACGTATATACATATATATATATATATATATATATATATATATATATATATATATATATATACCGTAAATCCTCTAATACAGGCCGGTATTCAATTAAAGGCCGGGTCTCCAATTCTGGCCGGTGTCGGAGTCAGCGGAGGTAAATAATGACCGGTCTCTTATTGTGGCCGGATGGAATGTGGTAACAAGCAAGTACGAGCGTCCCAGCGGCAGGGTTATAGTCCCCAAATCAACCAGCAGGAGGCAGTAGAGGTTCACACAGACCTTTTTTAGGCTTTTTCTTCAACGCTTAGTAACGCTACAGACACGATCCTCTATCACGCTCCTACCACACAGAGTCACGGTGTCAGTTAACCATGCTAATTCAACCCGCTCCACAGAACACACATCACCTTCCCTGTGGCTTACATAACACTCACACAACACGCAAATCAGCACATAGGAACTAGCAGAACGATAGGAAACACATATAACACAATACCCAGAATGCACCTGGCTTACAACCCCTGCCAGGTCATTACACTATCAAGTTCAAAGAGAACGTGCTGATTATGCTGCAGAACACTCTGGGGAGCAGCAGTAGGGGGTGTATGAACTACAGTAATCCCTCGTTTATCGCGGTAGATGTGTTCCAGACCTGGCCGCGATAGGTGAAAATCCGCGAAGTAGGGACTCCCAGCATACCCCTCGCGGGGATTCCCTTCACGTCGCACCCACGTCACAAACCGCGGCTATAAACGGAAGTCGCCTTTCCAGCTCACCACTCAGTCATCGTTTCTTCAGATTCATGATCAGAGTTTCCAACCTACCGATCAATCCAACGAACTATCAGCTCATAGTAAGTTATCTTACTTACTTCTGGAAAGCCCGGCATTTCCGTGTCACTTCGTTGACGCTCGAACGCTCGGGGGTTTCCTAGAGCACTGACGCTATCACTTCCGCGTCTGTGAAACCACGCTCCCTATTGAATTATCGTATGATCACATTCTCCTTTTTGGGGGTAAAACTCAAGTGCCACACCGTAGGTACTGACACGCGATCGTTCATGTCGGTTCATTTCCTTTAATGTTTTCTGTCTTTTATTTGCGCCTGATGTGTATCGCTGCTGTGGAGCGGGGCGCATCAACTTGTCCTCCGACGCACAGATCACAGCAGGGAGCGCTCAGCTGTTTTCGCGGTCGGTAGATCTGCCTCCTGAGCACGGCCACAGTAACAATCAGGTGTCGCCACCTCAAAAACTAATTTAACACGCGATCGTTCATGTCAGTTCATTTCCTTTAATGTTTTCTGTCTTTTATTTGCGCCTGATGCGTTTCGCTGCATGCTGTGGAGCGGGGCGCTGCGCGCATCACCTTGTCCTCCGACACACTGATCACTGATACAGCCGCCAAACAGCAAGCACTCCGCTGTTTTTGCGGTCGGTAGATCTT